TGCCCACTTCAATTTAGCCTGTAGCTATTCTTGAGTTAAATATTACTCAAGTTAGTAAGCGTAGTGCCATATGCCCTCTGAGGCAGCTGTAGCACTGTTAGCAATTGCAGTGAAATCAGTGTAAAACTTGTGTTTCTGCAAAGAATTAATCCAAATTCTTTCAATCCCTTATGGATGTGCACCCACACCACATGCTGTATGTACATGTAAAATGGCCAGTGACCACTTGACAGTAACCCAAGGTTTCCAAACAGAAAGCTCCTACCGTTCCATAAAGAGAATAACAGTAGTCTTTCTAACAGTAAATAAACCCACCACTTCTCCTGCTTATCAGACATACTTCCTTCCTGTGACAGGAATTATATCACTGCACTGATGGGAAGAAGAGAAAAGGGATTTTTTTTTTAATGGTTGTTTTATCTATCACTTTCACTGAGGCAGAAATTCTAGACTGATGCACAGATGGAAACCCCAAATGCCATGCAGCAAAGCATTCATCTATGGACAGGAAACAGTATGGGTTTTATAGGCTAGGGTAAAGGTTATGTCACTTTAAGTACCTTTTAAAAGACTGCACACCTTCCTTAATATTCAACTGCCAAAATTAGCCACACATCAAAGCCTTTAATAATATACAGAGTGTACCAATGAAGTTCAATTTCTGTATGCTCCTACAGACTAGCCTTGTTCCTGTAATACTGATAACATATGATGTTGTCAACAATCTACATAGGAACAGAAGGAAACAGGAAGGAGGAAAAAAGTTGCATTTCAAATAAAATGGTGAGAGAATACAATGGCTACTGCAAATACCACATGCAGATGAGATCAGCAGGTATTACAGAAGGAGCAGTAATGACAGTAAAAGGTACCATGGAAAAGAACAAAAAGTCTGTAGAATAGGCTGCTTTAAATATGTTTTTTTAAGGCGTATCTTTAGCAAGACTCTGGATGAGTATATGAAGACACTTGTAAATGTTCACAGACATCACTGTAAAACACCAGTGGGAAGAAGCAAGACTTTCTAACCTGCTCTCTTGAGGTATAATAGTTGATCTCTGTTGTACTCATACTAGCAGCTTTGGGAAACTTAACTTTGTCTTTCTGATGATTTTTTTTTACCTTTGGAGGCTAAAATTATCTTTTCAAAACACAATCAATCTAAATCTGACCCAACAACTGAAAGAAATGAATAGACAAATAGCTGAACTGGACCCAGTCTGCTCCCAGATTGAATACTTTCATCTGTAAGTTTGCACTGAGCATTTTGCTTCTTTATTAGACTCACAGAAAATACAAAAAGAAAATCCATGCTAACCAAATGTAGACAAACTGTAACCTTCATTGTGAACCTGAGAGGCAAAATCCAGCTTTTTTGGCAACTCTCATCTACATTACACATCCACATACAAGACTGCAATTCACAGTAGTCCACACATGAACCGCCATCTGAACATAGGGAAGCTCTTCCCTATATATCTGCATCTGAAACATCATGTGAATGTAAAAAAGACCACAGTCATAGGAAACAAGTCAAACTAACTAAAAGCTTTCTAAAGCTAGAATACATCAAGTGGTATTTTAACTATATACAGGTATGAAACCTTTTTTGTGATGGTGTAATACCCTGCTGCAAAAAGAGAGGTTTAGATTAGAAAAAGAAGTTACTGTTGCTTCCTTAACAAATGGGCCTTTTCCTTTCTGTTCTCCTTTCTGGTTCCCCCTTCATGTAACAATTATCCCAGGCTCCAGAACATACTTTTGGTTTTGAAACTCTGTAAATCAATATCCTTATGAACAGCTCCTGCAGAGTGCATAATCAGCCTGCATGTCTATCATTTGCTAAGGGATACATAAGCCTGTGCTTTAACAGTTCATTGTCCCTTTCAACCCATGATTCAGCTATGACATTTATTCTATAAATATATCAGAATATTTGGCTTGGAACACTCATTTTACACACTTCTTTTGCTTGAGGTTCCTAGCTGCCTTTGAACTTTAGTCACACAACATACCGTTTGTGAGAGATCCCTCAGTTAATCTATTAAACAGAAGAATGATGCATGTTTCCCTTTGGAAATAGTGCTGGGGGGAAAATAAAAAAGTGATGCAACAGATGGAGGAAGAAGCCCAAGCCCCAGCGGGTTCAAAGCCCGCTATTACTAGCGGACATGATGCACAGGCTGGAGCTACACCCTGTGGTTGTGAGAAGGGACTGTTCACAGTGGGAGCCCCTATAGAGCTTCCAGCTCTTCCAAGGAACAGCAGCATGACCTTGAATTCAGCTGTCTTCCCCTGTACACTCTGCAGAGACATTATACAGTTAATAAACCAATAAACTCCGATGCTGAAACAGCAGACTATGGCTTGCATCACAGAACAAGAATAGTGCTTACTGGTGAGGAGCGTACAATAGAACTTGGACTACCAAATGATAAGCTGGACCGAGTTTCTAGACAGATGTTTAGAAGAATAAATGTGCAAGGAGGGTAATTTTGCACAGGAACTAGATCTCTACTTCTAGAAGCAAGCATCTGTAGGACAAAATTCTTTAGAAGGATTCTGCTGGGATGGACTGTCTCGAACAAGGCTGTTCATCTTTCCTCCCATTTTTAAGGATCTGCAGGGCTCCATAGGAGTCTGTGCTTTTGCACTAGCCCTCACCTAAACAAGTTACTTTCCATTCCTGGTCTCAGCTCAGTTTCGCATACCTAGTTAAGAGATGTAATGCAGTGAGCCGAAAACAAGAAACAAACTCAGCAGATGAATGCCAAGTGAAGCTTTTATTTTCTACCTCAGCTTTTATAGCTACAGAGAAGGACCCAACTATGCAGCCAATCAGGATGTTTACATACAACAGCATTTTCCCATCCATCATTCCCATACTTTATGGCCAGGTGTTTCAAGATCGAGATATCCCGTCACACACCACGCATACCATTCAACCAGTGTTCTGGTTGAGATAACCCAGGCACACAGTGCTTTGTGTAGTTTTGAACTCCTACTTTTAGGTTGGCCCAAGGTCCTGTTATACTCAACGACAACACAGTTCAATCTTCCAAAGATTGCCTTTGTATAAATGCCAGCTGCTGTTTGTGTTCTCTTAATAATGTAATCCCAGCTTCTGCAGCGCCTTGGTTTGCAGCCTGTTGATGCTTCTTTGCAATGTAAGACATCCCCTCTCACTCTCCCTCTATCCTAAGATATAATGAATTTTCCCAGAGTGAACGTTGTTCATTTCCACTATGCTGCTCCTCCTCCATTACACCTCTGCTCTGCCTGAGCAGAGCAAACAACACAGTGGCATCGAGGCCCTGAAGGAATGTGGGTAGGAGGATGAAGATGCTTAAGATAGCTTCCTTTCTTAAGGGTGACACATAGCATTGTATCAAGGACATATTTTGAAGCATCTTGAAACTTTCATTTTCTTTAGCAAGGACTGCACAGATTTTCTTTGTGAGATTACTCTGTTTTTACAGGTCCATAAGAAACTTTGAAGACTGCATCTAGGCTGTAGATAGCTTAGGCAAATGCTGAAAATTCTGTTGGAGACAACCTAATGAAAACCTTTGAAGAAGCCAACAGCTCATGCCTGTTATCTTGAGTTTCTAGCATAAGACAATGTCACAAGAGGGCCCCTTGGACGGCAGGGTTGACTGCACTGTTTCCCCAATTCTATCTTAGCAGTGATCAGCAATGCATCATTCTACTGAAGAAGCTAAAAAAGAAAAAAAGTTTCAGGACATTTCAGATCATATTCTGCTCATAAATACGACAGTCCTGGTGAGGAGAGAAATTAATCTCCCCAAAACCCCAAATGCTAAAGTGAGAAAGTTGTCTAAGGGGTGGAGTTTTTTATTATCCAAAGGTACTCTTTGGGAAATACTGTGAGAAAACTACTCTTTGCTGAATTCCAGGCTACAGCATTCACATTTCTAGAGCCCGACTCTACCAAGAATCCGCAAAGTATATGCAGTTTTCTGTATAATCCTCACTAACATTGTCATAATTATTATTAAAAAAATAAAAAAATAAAGAATACAATGTTTTTCTTGCAAGCAGTTATCAAACATCTTCATTGTGGACTCAGAACAAAATGCTTAGCTAAACTCAATTTGTTCTATCCACAGCCATTATTTACCAGAAGCAATGTGCAGGATGAAGGATAAAGATAATTGTTAATTTCCAGTGGGTGCAATAATACAGTAAGTTTTAAAATCTTTTTTTTAAAACAATCTGTAGAACCAGCAAACTCTGTTTTGCTTTTCTTCCACACACAGCAGACAATCATCATTAGAATCTGGCCAAGCCATATTTTAGGATATAGTACACTCCAAGAACTAATGTCGGCGGGGCTGATGATTGGTGATATTAAAGAAATATAGACTGGGAAAAGTTACACATACTTCAAAAGAGAAACCAATGAAGAGGCGATAAGCAAATAATAAAACAACTGACAGGAAGATTAGCATTAGACTTTGGATTTGACCAGTAAAGAAAAAGTAAGGATGTTGTAAGGACACTGATTATTGAAGGTTGAGAACGTCATAAAGATGGAACAGCGCTTTTATTAACCAAACCTGTTTAGAGAAAAAACAAAAAATGAACAGCAGCCAGAACATTATATACATGGATGACAAGTGACAAAGGGCTACTGGCAGCGGACGTGTGGGAGAAAGGCATCTCAGCCCAAGGTCGGTACTTTTCCCTGTCTACATTCCATCGCGCGATGGTGGGCTGCACCGCACTTTGGCATTTCTGAATGCAAAACCATGGCTTGAAGATTCTACCAAATAAGAAGTCGCAGTTTGAATTGTCTTTTTTCCATACTGGTGTTTTCCTGAGATTCAGAAAACTTTAACACTTCAACATGGAGAAGAGCTGCATGGTCAAGTCCAGCCCTATTTGATGGAAGACCTGCACCATAAGTAGGCAGTTCTTCAAATCTCCCATTAATGGCACTTTCACACATCACATTTAAAGGCGATCGAGGAGAACGCTTATCTTGGCAGGCAGCTGGCGAGCGCATCAGGCCTTGGTACGGTCACAAAGTTCATGGTGCAGTGCAATAGTGGACAGATCTTTTCATGATCCTTCAACATTTCACTCAAATGTTTCATTTCATCTGTTAGCTTTCCAATTTCTCTTTTCAGGGAGGTATTTTCTTGCTCAAGACACTCATATTCCTGGAAGGAGAGGAAAAAAAAAAGCCTATTCATAGTCAAAACATTCTTTTCAGTGCTTCCACCCCGAGTATATTCGTGTCACTGTAGAAAAACAGTGTGGTTTCTGATTACAATGTGCAAAACACCAAGAAAAGAGATGCAGCCTGGCTGCTGAAACAGGGCAAGCACTTTACGATCTGTGCCCTGACCATGCTGAGATTTCTTTTGTGACCCCAAAAACCAGGAGATGCTGCTGGCCCTCAGGGTTTCCCAGCAGCCCAGGGGTGTAGGCGTAGGTGGCTGCCTCCCCATGGTGGCCTCTTTCAGCCCTGGGCCACCTCTGCTGGGAAGGGCTGAGCAGGGCATCTCTGTGCTGTCAGAGCAGAGGAAATGAAAACACCGAGTGCAGGTAGGTGCTGGGAAAACCCAGTGCCTGGCATTGCTGGTGAGGAAAAGGCAGCCCCTGCCTTGAGCCAGTGCAGGCAGAGGCCGTTTGCCCAGGGGCTGGTTGAGATGGACACCTAGCACAAGCACACTCCATACCAGCCTGGATGGGGCTTGTAGACACCTGCCCAGATGCCCAGGAACTCAAAAGCAGGAGGGGAGCTTCACACCAGCTTGTTCCCAGCCCCACTTTGTCACCAGAAGGCCTGACCACTGCCCTGGTTATTCTTGACCCAGGCTGCTTTTGAGCTAAGGCTTCTCTGGCAATGAATAAGCTGCTATTAACTGCAGGGGAGTTTTGAGATACTCTGCAGCATACATCTGTGATGGATGTGAGACTCGTGTGTCACATTTTTTTGATAACTGCATGTTTCAAGTGTCCCTGCCATCAAGACTTCTCATCCCAAAATGAAGAGAGCTAGAGGTTCAGAGCCAGCCCACGGAAAACCTGCAGGTGTCTGCACCTCGCTGCTGGCCTAGGGCTCGACACTCACCCACTCAATCTCACCTCCCTGGGAAAGCTTCAGAGCAAACTTCAAAGCCTACACGTGCCATAAAAGGGCTGTTTATCAGGCAGCAAGGAGAACCTCTCACGCAATGCTCCACTGGGCAGCCTGGCACTGCCTCTGCTGCCCTTTGCTGCAGCAGTTTGGATCCCCTTGCCATCTATCACACTCTTCCACCACCTCTCATCCACAGAGTAAAACAGGCACAGTCCTCCTAATACATTATTGTAGCCAAACTCCAGCCAATTGTCCATCCCTGACTCTGGTTCTGCTCACCTCTGGTTGATCCAAACCCCATGGGGTTGGGTTTTGGAGTGTGTTACTCTTCCATTGCTCTGTCCCATTTTCAAGGATGAAACTATCAAAATTGTTCTTGCTAAGAATGAATGCCTATTCACCCAGATCTGCGTGCACCTGGGAAAACCTGCATGCCCAAGAATGAAGATTCCCAGCACCACCAAGATACTCAAGTCCAGGAGGAACATTAGAGAGGCTGCAGGATGGCACAGTGCCCAGAAGCGATTCCACAAAAGCCAGGGGTTACTCCTGCACCTGGCTTTCTCAGGTGCTGACTCAGAGGAGATCTGGGAAAAACCAAACCCAAAACTCCCCACACTGTCCCTCTTGGCCTCTGCTGATCCTTCCACACTGAGAAAGAGAAGAGCCTCCACCAAAACTCCTGAGCTGAACAACTGACTCAGCCACAACAGCTCTGCAGCAGCAGAACTAACACTTACCCCAAGCGCCTCAGCTACACCAAAGCACTTATGTGTGAGGCAACATCCAAAACCAGAGAAAGGGGATTCCTGTCCTCCAGCATTTGCACTGGGGACCAGAGGAAACTACACTACATTGTGATATTGAGAGGTATTAAGAGTTTCTGGAAGAATCAGTTACTTTCATGTTTTTTTGGAAACACCCACTGTTATTAATCAGAGCATACATGTATAGCAGCCAACCAAACCGAGCTTGCACGCTTGGAGGTTTTGAAGTTCCTAAGAAGCCTTTGCAACTGGGTATTTCTGTCTCACACCATAGTTTTAGAATTTACTTAAGCCAGCACTGCCACTAAGCAGCATGGCCCCCTCCTCCTCCACCACCTCCTCCTTTGTAAAGCAGTAAGCATTCGTCCTCTGCCATAGCAAAGGTGACAAGCTTAACACTAATCCAGAGGCAAATGGGTCTGTTTTAGCCCAGAGGAGCCCTGGGATTCAGCTCACTGCATGGTCACAGGCACAGCAAAAGAGGGAGGGTGACAAAAGGACAGGACCACGTCTCTATCTGTCTGGCGGCATCACCGATGGCAGAGCTGCACTGTCCAATGTGAGCATCAGTGTTCGGGAGTTCCCAGAGAGGCACCCCACAGCATGCCTGTCTCTGCCTCACACCCGCAGCTCTCTGTGCTGGGTTAGTGTGAAGAGCGACCCACGCCTGCTTAAGAAGTCCCATCTATTGTCAAGTCCTGCACTTGGTACCCAAGCCGTGCCTGCAAAACATCAAGTACCCATTCACCTCATGAAGTTTATCTGCTTTCTGAGTTTGCTTCTTCCTGCTCCTCTGTGCAGCAACTCGGTTTTTTTCTCTCCTTCTGACTTTCCTGTCATCTTCTTCATGACTCTGGAAGACATAAGCCAGAAACATCTTGCTGCGTTTTCAGATGCACATGGAGACTCCCAAAGTCAGGCATATAAGGGTTATGAGCATGAGCACATAGTCCCAATTTCATAGCACCTAACCCTGGCCTCCCACAGCCCGCACGGTGTCTGTGAAGGGCTGCACATCCCCTTACCCCGTGCACAGGTGGGGCCAGAGGTGGAGGGGTGGAAGCTGCCAGAGGTGCCTGGGGAGTGCCGTGGGGCCCTGTGGGCACTCGCTCTGCTGCTGCTGAGGGAACCTGGGCACCTCCGTCACCCACAGCGAGGACCTGTGTTTCTGCTCTGCTCAACAGGCAGCATTTTCATAGAATCACAGAATCATTTGGTTGGAAGAGACCTCTAAGATCATTAACCACAGCTGTCAACCCAACACCACCATGCCCACTAAACCATCTCCTGAAGTGCCACATCTGCACGTTTTTTGAACACCTCCAGGGGTGGTGAATCAACCACTTCCTTGGGCAGCCTGTTCCAATGCTTGACCACTCTTTCAGTAAAGAAATGTTCCCTAACATCCAACCTAACCAGGCCCTGGTGCAATTTAAGGCTATCTCCTCTCATCCTATCACTTGTTACTTGAGATAAGAGACTGACCCCCTCCCTCCTCGCTACAACCTCATTTCAGATAGTTGAAGAGAGCGATAAAGCCTCCCCGCAGCCTCCTCTTCACCAAACTAAACCGCGGTTTCCTCAGCCGCTCCTCACAAGACTTGTGCTCCAGATCCCTCATCAGCTTCATTGCCTTTCTCTGGACAGGGACACCTGCCTGGCCCCAGCGCGGAGGAGGCTGCGGAGATAGGAGCGGCGCGGACGAAAGCCGGGCTCCCACTGCCGGCGGAGCAGCCCCGCTCCCCTCTCGTCGCTTCTCACGGCGGGGGAAAAGCCGCTGCCCGGCTCGTGTGCCGGTAGCAAGGAGCTCTCCGCGCTCGGCCAGCGGTTCC